GAATAAATGCCGAAAATGATCGCGAAAATATTCTGGAGGGTGTATTAAAGCCTTGGACACGCAAACTTTTGACCTTGGACATTCCAACAGGACTCAGCTCCATCGCACTCAGCACGCGCCACCCAAGAATGGTTCCCTAATGAGCTTCCTCGCTTCATTTCCAGCGTACAATGGCCACCAAAATCTACGGATACCAATCCGTTGAACTATTGTGTCTGGAGTACTTTGGAAAGCAAGGTTGGCACTAAGAAATACCCAAGAGTCGATCACCTCAAGCAAGCGCTTCGCCGGGAATGGGCCAAAATACAACAGAGCAATATTCGGACAGCGACAGTGATGGTTTCATTGGCCGTTTGAAAGCCATAATTCGTGTCAAAGGTGACCAATTCGAACAAATCTAAACTTGTTCTAAAATTTTATGCTATTTCCGACATAGTTTGTTTTCATTCAATAAAATAAAAAAATTGTAAAAATTATGGCGCTTGATTTTGTTGTAGTTTTTTTTATCTCACACTGTATAGGGAGGTTCTGAAAGGGTTGGCCCATATTGTCCATACCATATCTGACCTTAGTCTGATGTAATTATTACAACTTGCCAGATTTACACTATTTTATTTGGTGAAAATCCCATAATAGTAACTTTTGTTTTCAAGTCATAATTGATCTAAAACCATAATTCACATCTAAAAACGATCATTGTTCGTAAGATCAACTTCATATGAATTCCAAAAATAAAGGTTTATTTGTTACGGGTAACTCTACTAAATATGAATAGTGGGGCGATACAAGGTGTGTGTGGGGTATTTGTTTTTATTTGTTTTTGTGTAATTCGAATCTTTTAACCATGGTGCAATAAAAAGGTAAGGTGGAGCCATCAGATGAGTACATTTTTATACTCTCCACCTTGGACAGGAGGGTATATTAACTTTGTCATTCCGTTTGTAACATCCATAAATATTCGTCGTAGACCCCATGAAGTATATATATTCATAATCAGCATAAAATACTAAGTCGATTTAACGATATCTGTCTGTCCGTCTGTCTCACGTCTGTCTGTTGAAATCACGATACAGCCCACATTATTTGGCGTAGAGCGTCAAAATTTAGCATAATAATTTGTGTTGTGTCTAGGATGGTTGGTATTGAAAATGAGATATATCTGTCCACGTTTGGTATAGTCCCCATATAACGGTACCTTCCAATATTCGGCATTTTGATCATTTTTGCCACATTTTTTTCACGGATTTGTCTAAAAATTGGTACTTGTTGGTCATAATGGGTTCTGGCAGCGGTGGCGAAACATTGTATGTATAGGTTCACGATTTGGTATAGCCCCCATATAACGGTACCTCCCGATATGCGATATTTTGATGGTTTTTGTCACATTTTTCCACGGATTTGTCAAAAAATTGGTACTTGTTGTTCATAATGGGTTCTGGCTGCGGTGGCGAAACATTGTATATATAGGTCCAAGTTTTGGTATAGCTCCCATATAACGGTAACCCCAGATATTCGGTATTTTGATGTTTTTTTTTCACATTTTTCACGAATTTATCTAAAAATTGGTATTTGTTGGTCATAATGGGGTCTGGCTGCGGTGGCAAAACATTGCATGTATAGGTCCACGTTTTGGTATAGCTCCCATATAACGGTACCTCCAGATATTCGGTATTTTGATGATTTTTGCCACATTTCTTTGCGGATTTGTCTAAAAATTAGTATTTGTGCGACACAATGGGTTCTAATGTTTGCTTTACCCTAAGGTGGAGGGTAATAAAAGTGTGGCCCGGCCGAACTTAATATTTAAGCACTTCGTCATACTGCTAGTTGTTGTGGTCCATTTTCCATCCAAAATGCTAGAATCCTTCCCTGTCCTTAACTCTCTTCTCAGGCGAGTCGATTGGCTTCAATTGTGTGATTAGGAATTTCTTTTCTGTTTGTGGTTCATTTAAACCCCTAAATATTTTGCAATCGTGCCCAAAAGCACGAGGCCCCATTTCGTGTCCTTTGGTTTCTATTTGTGACCTTTATAACGGCTGCAAAATCAGAAACATTTTTAGTTGTTGGTCCATTTCAACCCCCAAATATATTGCGGACATCTTTAAAACCCATAGGCCTAGCCCTTTTGACCCTAACCCTGAACTTATGAAAATTTTCGTGAGGATTGGACGATAATTGCAATCTGTATATAATAAACCCAACCTGTGTTGTAAGTCGAAAAAATATTACAAAATGTACACTTCAATATTACAAGTCAAATTGAAAAAATCGCATGCGATAAAAAATATGAAAAAATAAAAATATGTCACAAAATACTACAAAATCTATATAAACATCATTATTGACATCTTTTTTATGCGACTTTTTTATTTAATACTTCTACGCCAAGAGGGCATTCTGAATTGACAAAATTTGTCGAAATCGGTTCAGCCATTCTTGAGATATAAGCATTATAGCTAACATCCCCTTCCTTTGTATATACACATTTTATATATTTCGCTATATATATCCGATATATTAACTATCGGCGTCGACGTAACGGTCAGAATTGACCTGTTCGTCTGTTTGTGATTTCGTCGGGATTAAAAAATTCGCGGTTTAATGGAAAATTTGACTTTTATTTAACACAAATGTTATGGTCTATTTCACCCATTAAATATTACCCTATTACCATTAAAATTGGAAGACTTCTAGCCACCCCTAAGCTCTTGCTCCATGCTAACTTCCGCGTCGATTGGTCCATAATTGCGACCTGCAGAGCAACTGCAAAATCAGGAAATTTTTCAGTTTTTGGTCCATTTCAACCCATAAATATTATGCGATCATCTCCAAAAGCAATAGGGTTCTATTCTGATCATAACCCCACCTCCATTTTCAATTTCGTGAGGATCGGACTATAATTGCGACCTGTAGAGTGATTACAAATTAACATGGACAGACGGACAGACGGACGGACATACATAGCTAGATCGACTCAGCTCGGCGAGATAGGAAGATCCATGTATACATTCATATGTGGGAAACCAATATTTCGAGGTATTACATAATTTTTGGCCCAATCAAGCTTATAATACCCCCTAACACATAATGTTGTAGGGTTTAATCAATGATTGGAAGAAACGTGAATTGTGAGGAGCGCTTTAAAACGTTAACCAGATTTGTCGTGAAATGTAACTATTGTAATAGTGCATTTCATTCATCTTTCGCGCTATTTAGCTCGTTACCAAAATGAGGATATTTACCAAACAAATGAGAACAACTTGTTCCATTTAATTTGGATAATTCAGGAAGCGGGCATAGCCTCAGGGCTATATTTCAATAGTTCTAGAAAGCTGTTCTACCTTCTTATTGTACAATGGTTGTAACATTATTTGATTACGAAGAATTAAAGATGATCTTAAGTATTATTTTATTCTGAGATATAAGTGGTTTGTTTTGTAAACAATTCCAGTGAATACTTTTTGTATGTTTAAAATTTGATTTCCCCGAAAACAAATTTGGTAAACTTATGTTACTCTAATGTGTTACCCTTAATGCCAAATTTAAAAATTCGAGCTCTATCCGTTCGCCCAATACGAATGGTACCATATTTTGTTCTTATAAGTACACTTACAGTACGAATTTCCGAAATATTCTTTCATTTATGTTTTTGTTTATCGTAGACAAATCTACCCACAAATTGCTTTATATTAACACTGTCATAATTAGTTCCTTTTTGTACTTTTCGTAGGCTTGTAAAACAAATTCCTTATCCCGCCCATCCGCCTGAATGTTAACCCTTACTCAAAATTTCAAATTCTAGCTGAAGACGTTTCGTCCAGGCTTAAATGAATCAAAACGAATTGAGTACGTAGTTGCATTTTAAGTTAAACTATCTTCCTGGTTGTGTTATGATTCTTACTGTGTGCTGTGCTTTATAATACTCCGCCGAAATGTATTTTATCTTAAGATGATTGTCTACTTACTAACAATGGTCATATATTGAAAAATCTACGATGTGAAATAACACAATTAACTGACTGCTTAAGGAAGGATTCTCGTTATTTGATAATCGCCAGTGTCAGATCTCATACTTGTTGTGAGAACACTTTGTTTTCAATATACTCTACTGAAATACGTACTCGACTTTGAAAATATATTATTGTCATTTTTTTTTTTATAAAAACTCACATTTGTTAAGAAAAATTAAATCAAATTTTTGTCTTCATTCCTGAAAGTTATTTGTAATTGTGCCTGCCGATTAACCCTCCATTATTTTTCCGTGTCTAAGAAAAAAATTGATTCACACCTAAAAAGACCTTTTGCCATGAGGTCGTTCCATTGCCGCCATTGAAAAACGGAGAAGGAGACGACAAAACGGAGACGAAAAGCAGACATGCCACAAGCCACCACCATAACTGCTACCACTGCCAGCAGAGAACCTTAAAGAGCAGAGGATTCAACTTCCACCAATATTCCATGCAAAGGCCCTTGGCGGGTTGTTGATGGCAATGTCGGAAAGTCTAACCCTGTGTCATGTCTTTGTTTGGCAGCCATTGAAGAATTCAGCGGTGAAGGAGTACAGCTTAGAGAGCATAGGATACGTGGTGTGGCATCTGTGTTCAATAAAAATATAGCTGTGTTGTGTATACATAGGAGACTCTCAGCGGAAGAAGAAGTAGAAAGAATTTAAATTCTCAAAGCAACTGTTTGGGCTGCTGTTGGAGAAATTGGTTTGAGGAATAACGGCCAACGTATTCTAAGAGCGAATAAATTCATTGAACTTGCGAATTTCTGGTTGTGGCTCTCGGCGGAAATTCTTTGCTAGACTGCTGGCATGGCACCAACTGATGACTGGGTTTGATGTTCGTTGTGCGTTCTCCTCGCTCTCAGCTGCCATTGCCATTTGTATCTGTATCTTTTTATGTTTCGCCGCATTTTGGTGTTGGTTACTGTTTGACTTTGGTTTGCTATCACCACCATCACTGCCAGTCACTACCACCACCAATACTGTGGCATCGAACAATACCACCACTATCGCAGCTGCCTGCTACTACAACCACCACCAACCATCAGCCGTAGAATGGCAGCAGCAATCTCTGGAATGAACTGCAAAAAGAAGAGTAGACATAATGTAAAACACGCAGAAAAAGGCAACAACAAAAAAGGTAAAGTTGATACATACGTTTTTATTTTATTTTTTCTTTTTTTTGTTTTTGGACACTGAACTGACACTTTTCTATCAGACCCAGTTGCCGATGTCGTCCTTCGTCAGTCATTCATTTGCCGATTGATATCTTTTGCAGAATAAACAACGAGCAGACAATGACCTGGCGAAACAGCGTTCCATCGGCGGCCATTGTTCATCATTGTGCAATTCGGAACGGCCAGCATACAGAGTGCAATGTCGGTGTAAACGCAGTGCAAAATAGTGTTTTGTGGAAATTTTTGGCCAATTGGAAAAAAAATCCAATTAAAGTTAAACTAAAAAAAAGTTTTATACGGTTAACAATTTTAAGTGAAGTAGATAAAAAAAACTCGATTGCACAAATAATTTAATTGGCTTGAGGCTGTGACAAAGTAATAGTTATATACAGTTCTAAATCTATACTCATCTAATTCGTTGAGCGGATTTAAGATAATTTATAAATGTGACTAAAACGTTAACTTTAATATCTAAAATATATATTCCTGGAAGTGATTTGAATTTGATATGGTCCGGCGACATTATTACCAAGGCATCCGATTTGAAATGCAAAAATCATGGCTTCAACATTAAAGCTCATACCACAGGTGAGTGTTAAAAAGAAGTGGCATTCAAAGAAATATTGAATATATGAAGGCATCATTTTAATTACTTTTGTTATAATTCTGTTTTACATTTATTGAATAAATTTATATTTTCCGAAGCTGCATGAATATTAAAATGTTTACTACAATACCGATAGTAGATTCTTGCAGGTTCTGGAACAGTGCATATTTGTCGTGAAAAAAATTGAATTGGTAAACGGGAATCTTCCTTTAAATCGATTAAAATTTAGACGATTGTCAAATTTTCGTTTAAGTATTCAATCAGCTTTTTCATATAATTTTTGTTCTTATAATTTTATATATTGCAAAATTATATTTTTTTATGGTTCGAAAATATTAGCAACAAATGTTGCTAATGTTTGTTTTGTTGTAAACGATTAGTACATATTTTCCAATATCATGCGTATATATTACATTAATGTTGAAACACATTATGATAATATGTAGGTAAAGTATAGAAGTAAAAAATAAAAATAAATATTAAATTTAAATATAGTTGGCATTACATATTTGATCATAATTTTTAAACTACACTTCAGGAGTTCTTGCTCTTTTTAGAAAATACAATTCAATTGTTTCTGAAAAGCTTTCATACTCAGAACAGGAAATAAATAGTGCAAATGTATACTTAATAATATTCGAGTAAAGATTGAGTCGGCAGAAATATTTGAAATTTCAATATTTAAAATTTAGTATACTTTCTAAATTATATTAGTTAAATTAATTAGAAGTTAGTTAAAATATAGTCGACCTGCAAGAACGAAGAGTAGAAACGATAATATTTCCTTAGCACTTTTTTCAATTTCTGTATTTTTGGATATGTTTAGAATATCTTGAATATTTTGCATAATTGTTGTAATAATACATATTGTGACATATTTTTGCATATTTAATATGTTTTCAAATATATCATATTTTAATTGCAAAACAACTTAATACTAATATTTTTTCTTATCGGAAGAAAAATAAATTAAAACCGGTAAAAAATCGATGTCTAGTCATTATAAAATTCTAGGTAAATAACAACTGTTTCTTAAAATAGCTTATTTACTATAAAATTCTCATAGCGCATAGATATAAAAATTACATTTTGTACTAAAAGATGATCGCTCATAAAAACCGTGTAAAATCTAAAATATGGCTTTGGGTTAAGACATTTTTGAGTAAACATTATAATTTCCCAAATAGCATTTTTTTGCAATATATTTTTTTTTAAATCATATTTTTATCATTCCGTTTGTAACACCTCGAAATACACATTTTATGGCCCACAACGTATATATGTATATTCTAGATCAGTATAAATTCTATGTCGATTTAGCGATGTCCGTCCGACTCTAGCTCCGGTACGAAATGGAGTGTTTAATAAACGAAATGAAGTAATTTGATAAAAAGAAATGACTCTAGCTTCCGAACGATAAAATTTTACTCAGATATATTTTAGGTCTGCAGGAATTTTGGTACTCCCCAATGGGCTATATAGGTTCATGAACCAGTAGATTTATGGTGGTTCTAGTCACAATTTAAACCCAAATTTGCTGTTAATTGTCAGTCTGTGGTCTTAGTATGTATGAAACATCCATGTTGTGTTGCTGACGAAGATTGTCTGTCTGTCTCGAAATGTCTCTAGCTTCCGAACGAAATGAAGTAGTTTAATACAATTTTACTTAGATATATTTTGGGTCTGTATAACTTTTGGTACTCCCAAATGGGTCTTATAGGCCCATATACCAGTAGATTTATGGATTTTCTAGTCACAATTTAAACCCGAATTTGCTGTTAATTGGCAGTCTGTACTCTTAGTATGTATGAAACATCCTCGCATAAATATGTTTATTTAGGTCCACGTTTTGGTATAGTTTCAAATTTGGTATTTGTATTTCGTAATGTGTACTTCCCCCGATTTCCTGTATATATCCACGCCTTTGTATAGCCCCCATACAACGGACCTCAAAATACTCAGTATAAGATATTTTGACAATTTTAGCTAGGTTTTTCAACAAATTTATCTCAAATATGGTTATTGGTTTTTTGTGCAGTTTTTTAAGTTTTTGCTTAATGTAAAAAATTAAAAGTATAGTTTAATCTCTCGGTTGGCATCAACTCATTAGCAATCTTCATTTTATATCCAAAAATGTCTGAAAACTCTCCAAATCACCTGAAAAGCATACACAGATATTTGTTACGTTTTTAATAACATATGAGGATATGCCACAGCAAAAAAAGTTTTCTTAACATTTTAGTCATTAATCAAATTATAATCCACAAAATCCGATTATTTTGTCAATAGAAGTGCGTCATTTTATCTTATTTCAAATTACCAAATATATAATTAAAAAAAAATTCAAGTTAAGTCAGAAATAGTTATTGAACTAAAAAAGGCAGTCTTGAATCTGCCGAAATAAAAATATCTCATAAAATTCAACAATCACTTTTAATATTAACAGGATTTGTTAAAGAGGCCTTTATATATCGGCGGGACAAATATATTTTGCAACCACCTTACGTGGGTCCAAAGTCTGCAAGGCTAATTTCACATTTTCAATTTGGTTTATTCCCACCAATTATATAAATGTATGTGTGATATAACTCCATCCATCCCATTTTCTCGAACTAATTTTTTATCAACTGCATGGTATTTAAAATTTAAATGCACCTAATATAATGAAATACATTTGATTTTGGATTACATACTTTGTCTGTCGTTTCTTCATATTTAAAACATTGCAACCGGTGCCATGAAAATGTTGCTTATATTGCTTGTATCTTGTGGACCAAAATATATTGAAATTATTGGAATTATCTAATATCCAAAATAATCACAGATAGTTAATTTAATTTCTTATTGCTAACCAGGTTAATTGAGGAGTTAAAATTTCTATATGGGAGAAACCGCACTTTTATGATATGCATAGAAAATATATATTCATTGTTATCTTTCTGTAACTTGTATCATTTAGCCTATTGTAATAATTTCCTAAAATAAGATTTGAAAATCTGCAATAAATCTTCTTAGCTTTGCACACTCGATTAAGAAAATAATGGTATATATTGGTCTCTCTTTAGATATAGCCCTTATTTAATGCTACCTCCTTTCATAGCTTTTTTGCTGTATATCTCTGAAGTTTTAAAGGATTAAAAATGTGTAAGAAATTGCTGTTGAACTTTTCTCAGACCAATTGAATATAAACACGAAATTCTATCAAAATTGCTTAAGCCGTTTCGTCAGAATGTTTGTTCGAGCATCATTACAGGAAATTTGTATATATTCTATTACTATTCGCAAAGCATGTAATTTCACAAACAATATAAAATTCCAATTCGATTTAACGATATCCGTCTGTGTTTTTTGGTGTGGAGCTTTTAAATTTTGCTCAATAGATTTTATTGTGTTTAGAATGGTTAATATTGAAAATTAAATATATCGGCCCACGTTTTCCTATAGTCCCCATATAATTTGGTATTAAGAGTTTGCAACGGATTATAACTCCGTTGGCGTTGGTTCAAATTTCGTATTAATAGCTTGTAACGGGTTATACCTCCGGTGGAAGAACATTGTCTGTATAGGTCCACGGATATCCTTCGGATATTCGGTATTTTATCGATTTACGCCGCAGTTTCTCACGAAATTTCCTAAAATTTTGTATTTGTAATTCATTATGGGTTCTAGAACTGGTGCAGAATATTCCATATATGGGTCCACGTTTTCCTATGGCGCTCATATAACGGTACTTCCCAAAATTAAGTATTTTTTCGGTTTAAGCCACATTTTTATCGGAAATGTTTTACAAACGGTATTTGTAGTTCATAATGGATTGTACAACCATCTTCAAAACATTGCTCATATTGTTCCAAGATTCAAAGTCGGTCAACATATTGGAGTTACTTCTATAGGAGGTAAATACCTATTTCAGGCATTTTCATAATTGTCAGCACAATTTCCAACAAACCAGCAATTCCTATAAAATTCGATGGTACAATAATTTGCGGGAAAATTGTAAATGTGTCAATTGTTTTGAATAATATAGAAAATAATTCTGAAGGATATTACATTCTGTTTTAATCTTTCGTGAAATTCAACTTTTTTTGAAAATGTGTCACAAAAACAAGTTGCGTTTTGCAAATTTGTGCAACCATTGGTACATATTTCATTTTTTTCCGAAATAATATCAAAAAAGTCAGAACAAAGGTGGAGAGTGGAAACAATTATTTAATTCTCAAACTATTCCAAGATAGTTGAACCTTACAAAATTGTTGATAAATTTTTACAATCTTTTCATAAGCTTCTCTTAGATTTATTTTACAAAGCGATTTAAAATTTGGCACTTGTGCACGTTTAAGATTCGAGGATGAGGTTTGGCTACATTATTAGGTAACCAATGCATAGAACCTTTGTTTATTATTAACTAAGAGTTGTAATTATTTAACAGATGACCTATTTTTGCTAACGCTCCCTAGATTTGATACATAAATATTTCTGAAAAAAAATATTAAACCCATTCTTGTCCATCATAAAGTAAAACAAATAATTTAAAATATATAAATTTGAATTAATTTTTTTAAATAACAAAGTTAAAAAAAAAAACATAATTACTTTAAATACCTTACATTATTTCTTCATTCAGAAAGCAAGCTTCGAAAGATTTTTGTTTGTGAGTTTTTACAAATTAGAAATTTTATATTTTTGTCATATCCGCCAAAATAAATGATTCCTGTTGTTATTTTGTAAGCACAAATAAAACACAGATTCTGTGAAGAAACCTATTTGTAAAATATTTATATTTTTATATAATATAATATTTTAATTTTTATTAAACGCCGGCGTAAGACAGTTCTTATCAAAAGGAAATCAGAATATTCCATGTTTGGTATAGCTCCCAGAATGTATATCTAGCAAAGTTCGTATAAACCGACTGAAGTCTTTTCTCAGAAAACAGCTGATTATTTATTGGTTCAATTAAAATGGTTCTCGATATCACTCAACCCCCGTTCAAAATAGAGTCATTAATCAGATTAATTTCAAGTAACTTATAAAAAAAATTGTAATTAAAAAAATCCACTCTTCAAACTTCTTCCTTGAATTATGAACAGAACACTTTAAAGGTTACGGTAACACTAAAATGAAGGACTAAAAAAATTCGTTGAACAGGTAAAATTCATTCAACAACAACTCAACATATTTTAAATAATTTACAACAACATTCGTACATTCATGCCTGAAAGAAAATTTTGTTTAAACAAGCCTTTCGTTGCAAACTAAGCGGGATATCCGCTGGCTGACCAAATGACGCAAATATCAGGCAACAATGGCGTATTGAAGAAATTTCAAATTTATGACCACATCATAAACAACACAGTGAGTGATGCTCAAAATATTTAGGTTGTATGCTAAGCGGAAACAAAAGCCAACACGCTGAGCCTGGGTTATCATTGGTTTTTGTTCTGTTCCAAAAGGGTTACACACACGGCAGACAGGCATCCGTTGAAAATTACAATATTCAAAACAGTACACAACAAGGTCTTTACAACAGAAACCGTGAAAATTCCTCTTCTATTGTTGGAATAAAGGATTGACCCAAATTTTATGAAAAAAAGAAACAAAACTAACAGAGCGAACTGGCTATTTTAAACGTATTTCATAATTCTCACTGAGTGAAAAGATGGGCATTTGGACAGACTTAACAAGTAGTACTAAATAATGGATAGCTACAAAAAGAAGAGAAATCAAAATTTCTTGGAAATTTGCTACGCTCCAATTTAAAACCCAAAACAGAACAAGAAAACTCAAAAAACAGAATAAGGCCAGAAACGAGTGTGTTGTTTTATAATGAAGAAACGTAACTCTTAACATATGCTGGAATTGTTGGATTGTCTGGCTTTCCATTTAAGTGGAATTACATAGGGACAGTGGTTTGCAAGATGTAAATATCTGACAGAAATATTTCATATTTTCCTGTTTCTTCAAAATCTGCTAATTTCTATGACAATATAAATACATTATTCATTAGTTTAAAATCTCCCTTGGTAGATACAGTGTTGTATGCAATAAGGATGTTGAAATTATAAATAACATCCCCCAGTGTCCATAAGATTCAATTGCCGCCGTCTATGCCAGCCAATGTACATTTTGTCATGACAATGGTGGTGGAATTGTATGTACATAGTTGTATATAGTAGGCATTTACGAAGCCATTGCAGTATAAATGTGTGTGTATGTACATAACAATGAATGCTGAATGTCTACGGTCCAAAAAAACCAGATGGACGTACTCAGATAAATCTTTATTTTTATTGCTTGTATTATTTGCTTAAGGGACATTTTTGGTAAGACATAATACTGAAGAGATTCGAGGCGATTGTTAAATTTCTCCCTTCCTATTGAAGTAAGCAAACACAACTATAAGGAAATTACATAATTGGATAAAAATAGCATGCACAGCGGGGTTACATTCCTTCTTGATTGTCTGGCATATATGTCAGATTCAAGGTTTTGCCTTATGATACATACATTATTGGCATGGTATTTGAAGCACATCGAAAAGGAAAAAAAATCAGTGTTCCAAAAAATTTTTTTTGAGCTAACAGGTACAAATGTTTAGATTTTTAAGCAAATTTCTCTAAAAGTATCTAAAACAAGTAAAAAAGCTGTAGGTTCGGCCGGGCCGAAGTTTGAGTTCCCTCCACCATTTGGAAAGAATTTGTCAATTTTCAAATACAATAAAATCCGTTTAAAATTCTGTTAAAATCTTAAAAATACCGAATGTAGCTATTATATTAGGGTCTATACGACGACATGAACCTGCGTAGGTAACATTTGTCATAAGGCATTACAATATTCAAATAGGAAACTTAAAAAAATCGGTTATAATGTTGATAAGATCAAAATACCGATAATCGGGAGGTACCGTTATATGAGGGCTATACGAAGACGTGGACCTGCATAGACAATTTTCTGTCGTAGGCTGTAGTATCCATTACGAACTTCAAATATCAAAATTGAAACAATTCTGGTGAAAAATTTCCCTAAAATCATTAAAATACTGAATATTGGGAGGTACCGTTATATGGGGGCTTTATGAAGAGGTGGACCTGCACAGACAATTTTCCGCCTTAGACTGTATTATCCATTACGTACTTTAAATACCAAATTTGAAAAAATTCCGTTGAATAATATCGCTAAAATCATCAAAATACCGAATATCGTTATGTACCGTTATATGGGGGCTATACGAAGACGTGGACCTACATGGCCCATTTTCAATACCAAAAGTCCTGCAGACATAACATACATTTGAGTACAATTTTATTAATCTACTTCAATTCGTATGGAAGCTAGAGTAATTTCCACAGATGGACAGACGGATAGATGGACGAGCATCGCTAAATCGACATAGAATTTTATGCTGATCAAGAATATATATACTTTGTGGGATCTAAAATGTGTATTTCGAGGTATTACAAACGGAATGACAAACTTAATATATCCTCCATACTATGGTGAAGGGTATAAAAATTTCATTTCGGGGCCTCCCTGATTTTATCGGTGGCAAAGCTGTACATTTGGGATTATTTGGGATACTGTAGTTATTATAATAATTTTGAATTAATCCTTATATTTTTGCTTCAGAATTAGAAATCTAAATTTAATTGTTAGTAGTCTATGTGTACGAGAGAGTAAGAGAGAATATACCAATGTAATTTTGTCTACTTCCGTTCACTTTTTTGTGGATCTTACAACTGTCAGTGTTTTTAAAGATTTTTGTTTTCATAGCTACTGAGTAATAATAATATCTCAGTACACAAAATGAGGAAAACTTATGGGAATTTATAAAAAAAAAAATTCTATAATTTTTCAAAGCATTAAATCCAAGCAAAATTAGTGTGTACAAAAATTTAATGGCAATTGAAAACCTGGATTATGTAAAGGGTGTAAGCTGAAGCTATAAACATTCCGAAACATTTAAGTATATTCACAATTTTTCAAAACAAGATATTTCTGAGCAAGATAAAAATCGGCCCATCAGTCTGTCTCTTAAACGAATTATGCTAAAGGTCGGCCAAGTTTGAAGATGGGCTATATCGCTCCACAATTTGGTATAATCGTAATTTAACGGATAAATCACGATATTTGAAATTTCATGGTTTAAGCCACGATTTTCAATGCATTTATATCAAATTTAGTATTTAAAATTCGTAGTCGGTATCTACCTTCCTGAAGAAAATTGTAAAGGTCACATTATGAAAAACAGTGCTTCCCGATGGAATGTATTTAAATTCTTTAAGCCACAATTTCTCAACGGAATTATTTAACTTAGTATTTGCTCTCAGAAAGTGCAATAACTACGCAACAATATCTCAAAATTGTCATATGTCGACTAGTGATGTTTTTCTGTCAAAAAAAAATATATAACTGCACACAGGAAATGATTCAGTAAACCATATTGCGTTACACGGAATATGTGAAAAAATATACTCGTATTGCGTAAAACGTTAACACTGCACCTTCAAGAATTTAAATTATAATTCGTAAAATTTTGTTTGAAATTTAAATTGTTTCATTTGTAGTTTTCACTTTTAATTCAATTAGAATTATTTAATATGAAATTCAAACAATTTCTTTTGAAATAAATTTTTTATTTATTTTCTTTTAAATGAAATTATCTAAATCTCAAATAGATTACAACGAGATACAATTGAAGTAGAATTTTGAAAATTCATCATTAAAATTTCATATCAAAATATAGTCCGATGTTGAAACGTTTTTGCCCGCAGGAAACTTAAAGGTGAAAAGGAATATTAATTTAATTCATAAACCTTCGAATTGTAAACTTGTATAAAAGTTTCAGTCGGATTTGCCGACAATGTATACTCAGTCAGTTTATAAAATTTATGTTGACTTTTGACGTTGTATGTGGGCTATACGATATCGTGGACTTATATTGACAATTATCTTCCAGGGGGTAAAATACGCTGATCAAGAATAGAACAGTGTTGGCTTGTTTGTTCAGGATACCGTAGTATTTTGTTGTTGCAAAATGGTCAGGCTTTATCCCTTTTATTATTATTTTTATAAAAACAACGATCAAGAATATATATACTTTGTTGGGTCTGACATGTGTATTTCGAGGAGTTACAAACGAAATGACAAAGTTAATATACCCTCCATAGTATTGTAGAGGGTATAAACATTTGACCATAGAAAGGTTCATTCTTTCTAAAGTAAATGTCAAAATCTTATCAGATCTTGTGTTAGTAGCAATATTGGAATTTGCCAAAGAATCGGAATCAAAATGTTGATCCGTTGTGGGGGGAGTTACCAGAAAAGTGAAAGGGGTCTGATCAATCAGGTCTTCAGATTCAGAGTAATTAGAAATATTGTAATGTGCCCAATTTTAAAAGTATCGGATAATCATTTTATTTTTTTAAAAAGCCATGATTGTTTAAAATTTTGACTCGTTGTCGGCAAAACACCAGAGTGAACTGATATATCCTATCTAGACATCAGATCTTGTGTTGCAAAAATGTTTATATGTGTGAAATATGAAGATAATCGGATGTTTATTCATACCAGATGTGCGTTTGTAGAAATATTGAGATGTGCGAAATTTGACGACAATCTGGCTCTTATTTCACATTTTATATGAGATAAATTATTCAAGATTTTGACCCTTTATGGTATTGGGATTCCCAAAGTTTGCACAAAATTAAATGATACTTTCTCTTTACATTGCTATTTAAAGTAACTATTTTCTTTAAAATGTTTGGCCTTTTGTGGGGGAGGTACTAGAAGGAGTGCAGTTTGGACAAAATCGGATACTCCCTTTGATAATTATCATGTGCACCAGAAAGCCAGGCAGACGGGACCCCTATATAGACTCCAAATGTCCTGAAACGGGTTTGATCCAAATTATAAATACCCTCTGGCTGAGGGTATAAAGATCAGGTTATTCCTTGTGAATCCATTGCCTCTTAGGTCTTGGTTCTTAGACTCTGACTCCGCAACCCTGGGTTCAACAGTTGTTATGTAGACGTCTCAATGTAATGGAGGAAAGGGGACTGGGAACCTAACTAGTAAAACCGAAAACACACATTCTTTCCCTTTTAACAG